TCACGCACTGTCGGGCCAGCGCCTGCCTGACATCACTCATGTTTCTGAATTCCTTTCATTATCTCTCTCTGGCAATCACGCAGAAAGGATTTGTTTTTTTTCGTTTAAGGCTCCTCTCACTCCGCTGGTTCTGGGTCACCCCTGGCTTGTCCTCCACAACCCGCATATCGACTGGGAGAAGGGTGCCGTACTAGGTTGGAGTGTGGCCTGCCATATGAACTGCCTCCGGGCTGCGGCTTCCCCCGTTTCGCTCCCACCCACGGCCTCGCCGTCGGACGCCCCGGACCTCTCGATGGTTCCGCGGGTTTATCATGATCTGCGGGATGTTTTTTGTAAGGATCGGGCGCGGTCCCTTCCCCCGCACCGCCCGTACGATTGTGCCGTCGATCTTCTTCCTGGAGCTCCGCTGCCGTCTAGCCGCCTGTACAGCCTCTCCCGGCCTGAGAGGGATGCTATGGAGCGTTACATCTCGGAGTCGCTGGCGGCAGGGTTGATTCGCCCCTCCTCTTCCCCTGTCGCGGCTGGGGTTTTTTTCGTGGATAAGAAGGATGGTTCGCTGCGGCCGTGTATTGACTTTCGGGGCCTTAATCAGATCACTGTTAAGAACAAATACCCTTTGCCGTTGCTTTCCTCCGCCTTTGAACTGCTTCAAGGCATGACCGTCTTTACCAAGCTGGATCTGCGCAACGCTTACCACCTGGTGTGCATCAGGGAGGGGGATGAGTGGAAGACCGCGTTCAATACGCATCGGGGCCACTTTGAGTATCTCGTGATGCCGTTTGGGCTGACTAACGCCCCCGCAGTGTTTCAGGCGATGGTTAATGATGTCCTTCGTGATTTTGTTAACCGTTGTGTATTTGTGTACTTGGATGACATCTTGATCTTTTCTAAGACACTCGAGGAGCACAAGGTCCATGTCCGGCAGGTCCTGCTACGCCTTCTGGAGAACCGGCTCTTTGTGAAGGGGGAGAAGTGCGATTTCCACATGGCGTCAGTGAGTTTTCTGGGCCACATTATCGAGAAGGGGGACTTGCGGACTGAACCGGAGAAAGTGCGGGCTGTGGTGGAATGGCCTACTCCTCCTGATCGCCGCCAAGTGCAACGTTTTTTGGGATTCGCCAACTTTTACAGACGGTTCATTCGTGATTTCAGCAGAATCGCTCTCCCTCTCACTAAACTCACCTCTCCCAAGGTTCCCTTCCAGTGGGATTCTGCCGCTCAGCGAGCCTTCGCCCTGCTCAAGGACAGGTTCACCACCGCTCCCATACTCCGGCAACCGGACCTTACACGGCAGTTCGTTGTGGAAGTGGACGCGTCGGACTCCGGGGTTGGGGCAGTTCTGTCTCAACAGATGGACGGTAAGCTGCACCCGTGTGCCTTTTATTCCCGCCGTCTCTCCCCAGCAGAGTGTAACTATGACATCGGGGACCGGGAGCTTCTGGCCGTCAAGCTGGCCCTGGAGGAGTGGAGACATTGGTTGGAGGGAGCAGCACAACCATTCATCGTCTGGACGGATCACAAGAATCTGGAGTACCTGCGCTCGGCTAGACGTCTCAATTCCCAGCAAGCCAGGTGGGCACTGTTTTTCGCTCGTTTTGACTTCACTATCACCTACAGGCCAGGAACACGGAACGTAAAGCCAGACGCCCTGTCCAGGCAATTCTCCATCACTGGGGAGGACTCGGACCCTGAGCCTGTCCTCCCGGCCGCCTGCGTAATTGGAGCCATCTCCTGGGAGATCGAGGGGCTCATCCAAGAGGCGCAGGAGACCGAACCGGATCCTGGCACTGGTCCACCTGGTCGCCTCTTCGTTCCTTCAGCCGTCCGCTCTCAGGTTCTCCAGTGGGCTCACACCGCCCGCTTTTCATGCCATCCTGGGGTCCTCCGCACCTGCTCGTTCCTCCGACGTTACTTCTGGTGGCCTGCTATGACTAGGGATGCCAAGGAGTATGTAGCCGCCTGTTCGACCTGCGCCCGGAATAAGCTTTCGAACCGCCCTCCACCGGGTCTTCTGCAGCCTCTCCCTACACCAGCTCGACCATGGTCCCATGTTTCTTTGGACTTTGTCACGGGCCTGCCGCCCTCCGCTGGTAACACCGCCATACTTACCATTATCGATCGTTTCTCCAAAGCTGCACACTTCGTCGCCCTCCCGAAGCTCCCCTCGGCCTTGGAGACGGCCCGGCTCCTCACCTCCCATGTGTTCCGTCTTCACGGGATCCCCGAGGACATCGTCTCGGATAGGGGGCCGCAATTCACGTCCCGTGTTTGGAGGGAGTTCTGCTCCGCACTGGGGGCCAAGGTCAGTCTGTCTTCCGGTTTCCATCCACAGAGTAACGGGCAATCGGAGCGGGCCAACCAGGAGCTGGAAGCTGCCCTCCGCTGTGTCACTTCGCACAACCAATCGACCTGGAGTGAACAGCTTCCATGGATCGAATACGCCCACAACAGCCACACATCCTCCGCCACGGGCAAGTCTCCCTTCGAAGCGTCCCTGGGCTATCAACCACCTTTGCTCCCGGCCATCGAAGGTGAGCACTCCGTTCCTTCTGTACAGGCTCACCTCCGCGGGTGCCGTCGTGCCTGGCGGGCGACTCAGGCTGCCCTGCTCCGTACTAAGGAGCGGAACAAGACCCTCGCTGACCGTCACCGGACACCGGCCCCCGTGTACACCATCGGTCAACGAGTATGGCTGACTACCCGTTTTGTGCCGCTACGGACTGAGTCGAAGAAGCTGTCTCCTCAGTTTATTGGCCCTTTTCCCGTTGAGGCCATTGTGAACCCTGTGTCTGTCGCGCAACATGCGCATTCACAATGTCTTTCATGTGTCTCAGGTCAAGCCGGTGCTCTCCAGCCCGTTGTGCCCTCCCTCCAGGGCCCCGCCGCCCCCCCGGCTCGTGGATGGTCAGCTGGTCTACAATATCACCCGCATCATGGACTCCCGGCGCCGGGGTCGGGGTTTTCAGTACCTGGTTGACTGGGAGGGCTACGGGATAGAGGAACGCTCCTGGGTGCCTCGAGCTGCTGTCCTGGATGGTGCCATGCTCCGGGACTTCCACCGCAGGCATCCAGGTAAGCCTGGTGGGTCACCGGGAGGCTCCCGTTGAGGGGGGGGGGGTACTGTCATGGTCTCCGTGCCTGCCCGGTCGGCCCCACAAGGCTACAATTGCTGTTGCTGTTTTCTCCCTCTCTGCCTGGGCGGAGCTCACTGTGGGCTCCCGCCCTTGGCCCACACACACACCTGACAACACTCACCCATCATCACCGGGAGCACTATTTGAGGCTGGAACACAGATCCTCTTGTCGCTGGATGATTGTACCCCTAACGTTAGTGTTCTCACAGCTCTTGTGCTTCATATCCGTGACTTGTGATTAGTTGGTGACCTGCCTTCTCGTCTGCTTCAGATCCCCCCCCCCGGACCTGCGACCTCCCTGCTGCGGGAAAGTGTGTGAGTGTGAGAGAAGAAGACGTGAGCGAGTTACCCTGTGATTTCCCCCCCGGAGTTTTGGATCCCTTCACTGTACATATATTGCACTGCACTGTAAATAAACCACACCTTGGAGATACCTTACCGCTCTGCGCTTGAATCCCTGTACCAGATCGTGACAATACCTTTTGATGACCTCACATTACTCTCTTTATTGCCCCCGAATAGCTACTTGTATGTCATTCACAGTGGCAACTGTAACAATGTTCTGCTATAAACATCTCATTTGTCAAGTCTTGGCCTCTTTTTACGAATCACAAGGAGGGAAGTTTAAGAAAAATTCACTATCTGGCCTTATGGGGGTTTGTTGTCCCAGCCTAAATTTCCTGCACTGCAACTCAAATACAGTCCGTATCCCTTTCAACCCCAGTGGTCCCTGTAGCAGGAGTGAGCCTTTTCTGTTATTAAACTGCAACCAGCTGCTGTTATTTGAGGGTTTCAGAGTGTGGCACACTGAAGTGAAAAAGTAGTCTGGTATTACTCCGACTGAAATGAATGCAGCATTTATTGTGCTTTCATTTCTGATGTATTACATTTGGTGGAGTTACAGGTGAGAATTTTTCAGAACAGATTTAGAAGCATCACCACGGCTGGCTTGTATTTTCACTCTAATTTACAGGTTTAACTGGGAACAATTTTGCCCCGTAGTTGTGCAGTTTGTACTTACAGTTCTGTAACTGTTCATGATGACTGAATGGGAAATTTCAGGTCAAATTTCTATAAAAAATAGCCTAGGGCTTATGTATTAACACATAAGCCCTTTCTCGGTTTCTGTCAGCTGCTTTTACAAAATATGTCCTTGTTCCGCCTTCAGACAGAACCTTAAATTTCTAAAATGCAGAAAGGTTCACACCCATCCTCATCAATCCGACGTGCAGGCAGATTGACCACCCCCCAACCCACCTCCAAGGCCAGCTGCGACCCCGGGACAAGGCCAGTCCAGCCCCTGAACCACCAGCTAACCCCCACCTGAGGCAGGGTGTTGGAAGTCTTGCCCACTCTAAATTTGTGACAAAGCTAAATTTGCACTCTTGTAGCCAGACCCCTTTTCCCCACACTGACATTATTATGGCCAATAACTAAAATACATTTCCAAACTGTCATAATGAATCCAGGATGAAAAGTACAACATCCCACAAGCTGTGTTTAACTGTGATTTTAGGTGCTTTAAAGAGGATTTTTCCTCCAAAGATTAACTGTGATTGCTGTGTAAAGGGCTAAAATTGTAATGCCTCCTGAGCCTTGGTGCAGCAAAATGCAGCTGGGAATTTCAAAGCCTTTGGATATAGATGAATCATTGTCTCTGACCAAAGTTTCTCTGCTTCTTGATTTAGAGGTAGTGTCCTGGTCTGTGTTCTTTCACCCTGATGAATTAAAGCCCAGCGACTGTCACAGAAGGACAGTCCTGCTTGTGTCTCGACATTTGATGAGTTTTGTCTCAAAACGTGAGCTAAAGCTCCTCGATCGCTACGTGAAAACCATTAGGAAGCATTTTCATTTGGTGACCCTTACCTTATGTCCTCCTGTATTGAGCCTGAGAGGGGTCAGGTACGGGTCAAAAATCATGTGACTGGTTTCGATGTCGATGGGAGACTGCCTTTTCCCAATGGCACACAGGTTCCAGGCTGAGTTCACCAGACCCCAGAAGGATGGAACTAGTGTTGGAACGAGAGGGAAAAAAGAAAGCAATTATTGTGTGAGTGCCTGTGCATGCCTGTGCACATGCAGGCACAAGATCAAACCATAAAAACAGAAAGAAAGGGAGCAGATGAGCTTCATTATGATGGGACAGAAGTGCTGGTGGAGTTTAGGGAGATTTAAATTTACATATGGCTTCATTAAAATCCAACTAAAAAAAGAACTTTCATTAAAGTCTCCAGGTTATTATCTGCAAGTACAAGTAAGGCGGAGAAATGGACTTCTTAAAAGTGACTCAAAAGTTCTCTCCATCGTTTTTATTGCACATAATTTACAATACCAGAACTTGGCAGACCCACAGGCTAAGCTGAGCCTTGCAACAGAAATATACCTCCCCGGAATAAAGTAGTACATCTTACTTTTACACTTAAAATATTTTCATGATGGTTGTTGAATTTTCTGTTGATAACATAATAACAGCATTAATTAACATTGTAAATATAAGGATCCTGTAATTGAGTCTGTGTTTATTGTGTGAATGCTGAGTATTAAGCTCATTCTCATTCCCAGGGTGCCAGTTATTTGGGTAGATTTGGCGTGTGTTCCGAGTGAGATGAATGGAAGGGGTGTTTCAATGTTTTCCTAAAAGTAACCAAGTCATTTTCAGCACCTAAACGTAACTCTTTTTTAGTGTATTAACCTGGCAATATAGTTTTCTTTGCCTAAAGCTGCCCTAATACTTTAGTGCCAAACCTAGCCAAGACGTTTTTGTTGCCTGTACCTAATAAGTGAATCAAAGCCACAATACAAAGTTAATAATAAAGCTAAAATCAAAACAATTAGTGAGGAAAAAAATCACTAACTCTGTTAACTGAACTGTAAAGGAATAAAACACTTTTGACATTCACTAGGGCACAAAGGCTTGTGTTTCATTGGTCCTCTAATGAACTGGAACTGAATGCTGAAAGGCATCACTGATGTCCCCTCATACCCAATATACAGTGCAGACCACATGGAACCATTTTTTCTCCCTCTGTGCTCGAGCATATACACTTGGAAATAAAAGAGTAGATACTTGACTGAAGTGGCGAGACTGAGCTTCGTTTGATTTGGTTTCCATTAATGAACAGTGCTGTGATAAAAGTCTTTGCCCCTTCCTGATTTCTTCTTCTCTTCTTGTCATACTTGAATGTTTCAGGTCATCAAACAATAATAGTAACATTAGACAAAGATAAGCCAAGTTTTTTTTTTCTTTTTAAAAAAAGAAGATTTAACATAAAGATTTCACACTTTAAAAAAAGGTATCAAATAAAACTGGTCCAATGGGAATATCTCAAACATTTAATTGACTCAATGATATACTCTGATTAAAAAGACACGGCATACTTTAAGCACTTAGAAGTCTGTTGTGTCTGATCTCATTTAGCACTGTAATGATATACTTGCATATTCTACCTTGTAGTTGCATTAAACTGTACTGTGAATTTTAAAAATCAAAGTCTTTCTAGAAGTGAAGTAGTTTTATGCCTTTTATTATGACACAATATTTCATCACAATACTTCGTACACCTCTCTGCATTTAATCATTAGTCATTATTAATCTCTGGCTCTCTTCCACAGCGTGTCTTCGTCCTGTCTTCCTCCCCTCACCCCCAACCAGTTGCGGCAGATGGCCAGCCATCCCTGAGCCTGGTTCTCCAAGAGGTTTCTTCCTGTTAAAAGGGAGTTTTTCCTTCCCGCTTTTGCCAAAGTGTTTGCTCATAGAGGATCATTGTGAAACCTAGCCCTCAGTAAATCACATGATAGGATGGGGCTAGGCTTCACAATGGGTACACGCAAAACCTTGGCTGATTGTGACCCATGCCGGTTTTCACACCTTGGCTCGTGTGATTAGGTAGAGGATCAATCGGAGGTCCATGACCCTCTTGGGGACTCTCCCATAGGGCTTAAAATCAGGGACTCTCCACCAGTTGCTCTTAGAACTGAAGAAACTTCTCGGATGAGAAGGTGAAACGTCTTAAAGGAAACTTAAAGAAGTCCAGACGCTTATCTTTCCAAGCTCCTTAAACAACTAAATTGAACATTCCTGTGTAAGAGAACAATTTTCCTCTTTTTTCCATATTTTTTTAATTTTGCAATACCTGTACTGCAGGATCCCTGCTGTCTGAAACGTTTAACCTCTAAAAGTTAGACTGTTCATTTTAAAAGGTGTTTTTTAAAAAACAAGAGCATGAAAATTTTCTTTGATTCTTGTCAAATTGCCATGTGGCTATGATAACTGCCATATCCAAGGTTTATAATGTAGCAGCACATAGTAACATGTAATTAAAAACAATATGATGATGTCATGATGAAACAAGCATGTTTTCTGAAATATTGCACCTGGGAGGGAACAATTCTGAACTTTATATGGTTGCTACGGGTTAATTAGCCAAGGGTGAGGAATTTGACTACCAGTAGATGTTTGTAATAAATCTTTTGGCTTCAGTGTTCACTTTAACCAAAGCACGTGTCAGTGATAAATTAGGCTTTGTTGTGTTATCTCAACATGTAATGCAGGATCGTTGTAAACCCAAGACTCTTGTAGGATTAGATGTTCAGATAATCAGAAGAGTTTTGCTCTCTATCAGATAATCCTCTGTAGTCACATGATTACTACTATCCAGAACAGAACAAGCTGGACAAAGAATGGGACTGGAAATATGGTAATGATAGCTGATGTTTAAGGCAGCCAGATGGGGGCAACATGTGTTAGCAATGCAATTGACAGATAGGGAAAGGATGCGCACATGCTCACAGGCATACAGAGCCTTAGATGACATTACTAAATCAACTGTAATTTTGACACATGCACACAAAGTCTTTCTCTCGCCCCAGGGCTTATCACTAACTGTCATAATGCTTTTCATCTCCAGGCTTAATGACAATTCAGAGTGTGAAACAGCTGTCATTTTGCTCTAAAAAGTAATCAAGTCATCTAAGCTAAGACCCAGCTAAATGGGTAAAGAAAAAAAATTGAATGATTGAAGTTTTGGTCCACAAAATTTAGATCAGAAAACTTATTTATATAACTTTCTCCAATTGCACTCTATTTTAAAATTCATGCACACTGATTAACACCTGGGAGCTGTTCCTGACAGCCTCTACTGCTATCCCCCCACCCTTCCCTTCTTACAGTCTGTTCTCCTCTCTCTCCAGCCTCATCCATTCTTCCATCCCTCTCTGACCATATTCTGGGGAGAAGTGGAGTGACAGATGTGGCAGCCCTGACCTGCGGAGTGCAATCCTGACCCCTGCTTGGCACATATCCGCACACGGTTATATCACCAAGCTTTGTTTGTTTGTGTAAGTAGGTCTGTGTGTGACACACAGACACCCACTGTATGTCAGGAAACACATCAAGCTCTGTAGGAAACAAATAATTACTTGGGTCTAAAAAGTGGAATATGTCTATTGTGTTGTGTATGGGATTTAAATAATGGTGGCAGCTATTAGTCAGGACTCCTGTAGTTTCATTGCATCTAAAATCCAGATTGTCAACTGTGTTAGATTACATCATGTCGGTCCAGGTCTCTTTTAATCTTGAAGTGCTATGATGTAAATACAAAAAAGACTAAACATTAACACTTCATTGTTTCAATTTCAATCTAAGCTGAAATTTATTATAGAAATGGACAGCTGACAAAACAGAACCAGAGAAAAATAAATAAAGGCAAATATAGAAATCATAGAACAAAAGAACCTGCTTGAACAGTTACGCACCCAAGTATTTCACAGTATCAAAGTAAGCCATTCATACTTTTCTGTATGCCCATGGGTAAGTTACAAACATACTTATATTGGTGAAAATATGTATGAATACACAGAACTGCCTCTGCAACAGCTGGCGGCTTTAAATTCATTTGATTGTTATATTGATTTTCAAGTAGGTCAAATAAAACTTTTCCTCAAATTTCTGCTATTTTAGCACAAGTAGAGATTCCCAACAGACAGATAAAATCCAAAAAGATTATCCCACGGAAATAGTTTAGAGATCTTTAAAACACAAATATGCTGCTCTAGACTGGTTATGAAATACAGGAGGAGCATCATATTTTCTAAATAAACAGAGTTCATTTTGGTTTGGCAGAAATAAAAAATGATTCTAGACATACTGGATTAAAGTTATTGACCATGGCGCCACCCCCAGAGAAATAAATCTCATCCGAATGGCTTAAGTCAGTGGCTAAGCTAATGCTTCTATGCAGCTGTACTTAAGCATATTGATGTTTTAAGCTAATTGCTGTCAGCATGCTAATATGTATGTTTAACCCTTTAAGACCTACCATAGAACCAAGTTCGCCAGAGCTTATATTATATTTTTACATGCTGTGGAGCCATTTTTGGGAGCATTTCAAGTTGCTATACATCAATACAACCATTATAGCCCAAACTTTAATAATATGTCTGCATTAGGTGCATAGTAATTACATAAATTGCAAAAAAGTGCAATAAACTACAAAAAAATTGAAAATCGTTTTTGTTTTTTTAACATATATTTCTAGTTAGAGAAATTTAAGAGGCTTATCCCTCAAAACTGTAAATACAAAAAAGTTACACAAACTAGTTTCCCACCACAGGAAATTTATTTTGAGTGTCTTCATAGTTTTATTTTTGAAATACGCCAATTTTTATATACTGCAGGAAAAACGAAAATAAATATTATAGTGCAAATTTGCAAAATAACAGCATATGCATCAAAATAAACTATTTCCAGCAGTGCAATATGAGTCTTAAGCATCCCAGAAACGACACAGAAAGTCATAAAGTCAAACATAACTTTTTAAAACACATAACAAGTAAAACACAAGCTCATAAGGCCCCGATCGTAAGAAACTACATTTCCGCAAAATTACGTCACTTCCGGTTTCGGGCAGGTCATGCGGTCATGTGATAGTTCGCGCTGATGGACGTAGGAAGTGTTACAAACAGCTGATGGATCGGCGAAGCGTGTTTCTGGAATATCATGTTTTTGTTG